GCAAGTGACAAAGTACTCCAATTAAAGGAACTTTTGACATGAGTTCAGCGTTCTTGCGGTCATCTCCATATTGATTTGCTAGGGGAATGGTCAATGCAAGATTTTATCGGGTAGTAGCTATCATACATAATGCTGACAGATACTCGGCTGCCAAACGAGAGCCAAATCTGCAGACACAGTTGGACATGAAGATGGCCACTTTGCCAAAGTCTACATCTATAGGGCGAAAAGTGTATGAAAAGCATCCATGAGTATGACACCCTCTACTCGTATATGAAGGGAATATTCAGACCCTTCCTTCTAATATATAAATCAAAATCGGTCGGTAACTTCAGTAGTTATGGCCATTCAAAGCTATTATTAAAGCTATGCTCCGCTCTCAGGCTAAAAAAACGCATATGTTCTTTGGGTGAGGCGGCGCCTTAACTCGTTCTCAACACCCGCATCAACATTTCCCATCACAACAAATCGTTAATTAAGTACTCACCTCTCGTTGCAGATAAACAATTTATCGCATGCATGGCAAAATATGTTGCTGCTCGCTTCTGCAGGCGCTGGAAAGCGATATTGTCGGAACTGATTAAACGGAATTTATTTTTATCCCAAAAATACGGATGATCATTGACTTTTGGCCTAAAACTCCGTTTTAAATAAATTAACTATGACCGAGTATCGAAGTGAAGGTTGACGTAACACGGAAATACATATCATTTAGAAAATTCACATTCTTGATCATTAAAAAAAATCTATTATGATCGGTACGTTTGACCAAAGTTGGAAAGTAGGTCGGTTTTTAAGCGAATTCCCATTTTTACTTAATCTTGGCCTTCATGGAGCAGAAAAAATTTATGCAGGAGTTTCCCTTCCCCCTTAATTCTTCATCGGCACGTAATCCAAAAAAAGAGCATCTTCTGTTGGCCTAGACAATTTTTTTAAAAGGACTTGGGACCGCGGGAGAAAGGGCAAAAAAGGCCATCTCGTCTGTCGGACAGGGACAAATACGTACAAGCAGGCTTCCATACTCTTCCTTTTGCCTATCAAATCTCTCTTTAATCTCAAACTGGTGTGTCTGTCGATTTTCACTTGATCATTCCTAGTTTCTGGGTTGCTAACCAGGTTAACTGGTTCCCCAAATTTCCTTCAAGTGAAAGCTACTTTTTCGGGTAAACCAAGGCCTCCCTCCCGATCGCAACAGTACCTTCCTTTTCCCCTCTTTTCCCTCCTATTTATTTATAATTTGTATGAATCTACGGAGGGAAACTCGAGCAAGCATGAATGCAAGTATGGATTTTTTAAATACAGGGAATGAGATAGAGAAAGAATAATTATTTGATGAGAGAACATATGCAAGTCCAGTACATACTGCACTCTTGCATGCAGGAAAGGTTCTGAGCTGGGCAGCTCGCACGAACGGGAGCCACATCGATAGAAAAAAATCGGTTTACATGAGTCCAACAGTGGACAGAGAGCTCCACGACGATGAAGACGATGAACACAGCATATGAAAGGGAATGCAACATCCACGAATTCAAGTCCAAAATGCGGAAATGTTGGGAAATGGCCTTTACCGGGATTGCTTGGTGGAGGGACTTCTCCTCGGACGATACCATCTGGTCTCGGAAAATTCGGCACCGCGTCGTTTCCGTCATTCGCATTTTGTCTGCAAAAATTTCGCTCGAGTGCAATTTGAAGGGAAGTAACTTCGGACATTAATACATTTCGGTGCCGAGTACTTCCGGTCAATTGCAATTTCGGAGTTATTGCAAGCCATATTCGTGGAAAAATGAATTCGAGTCGACGTAATTTCGGTCTCATATATCTGGGAGTTTGACACTAATCGGAACTCTATTCATTCTGTGGAATGTCATTCCGGGCAAACATACCTTCGTTACGCACGTCTGTGCTTTTTTATTATTATTCTGTGCGTCATACGGTCATCGGCATTTATCCTTATTTCGGTCCTACGTTCCCGACTTGTGCAATATCTGAATTGGAAGAAATCGCGTATGTTTCCCTTCAGACACACCTCATCAGATCTGTGGTTTCGATTCTGTTCGTGGTTCCTGTTCCTGTCATTTCTATGACCCTGTTATTATTCGCACATGGACGATTAATCATCGTTCGCTTTCGTGATTGGCATTGGTGCGAAAACAGCACGCATGCAAAGAAGTAATACGTACCGATTCGTGCCAGGTTGTGAAGAAAATTTTGGGAAGCCGTTCGTCCGTCTTACCTGGGTGTACAGATATGCGGTATGGTATACGGATTCAGGAGGGGATTTGGGGAAGGAAGAGAGAGGGGGAGACTGGGAAAGGCCTTGGCTTGCATACGTAATCACAACGAGACTCTCTCTAGTATTGATCTCCGATATATGTACACGCAAGTCGCAGGAAGAGGAGGGAAGTCTCTCTCCTTCCTTCCTCCTATATTTTCGCTTCTCTTTTCCCTCCTGCTATAAAAGAAAAAAAAGAACAACAACGAGGATGATAGCACACTTCCTCATTAACTCCTCATCTCTTGACCCGCGAGTACACGAAAGTTCCAGCGCCATATTCTTGTTGCTCGGATTCTGTCGCCCGTGGTGCATCGTTCATGCGTCCTTCTCGCAGTGAGTGTTTCGCCTTCGAGCTTATAGCATTTTTCTGTCTTGTAACGGCGGGCTATAGAGTAGTTCCTGGGGGTTTGCTGTGGGAAACATTAAGAGAGATCCTTAAATCCCGGGGAAATGAAAGACAGTCCATTTCCATTCCGCACGATGACGATATCCGGAAGAAACGGACGGATGAAAATATAGAGAAGCTCATGATAATCATGATAAAAAGTGGAAGGAGGAGGGGGGAGGGGGAAGGAGAACAGAAAAGAAGGGAGAATATCTTTTGGGAGGGGATGACGTCAATTGACGTCACGGTCTGGCACTATCAACCCGAAGTCCAGATGTTTCTCATCCTTCAAGGGACACTTTTCTGGAGCCAGGCCAAGGATTGCTCTCTTGTAGCCCATGCCCCCGTTTCCTATACCCCTCATTTCGTGCCCCCTATTAGCCCCCTTTCCAAGAATAATGTCATTTATTCCGACAGTGAAGAGGAGGGCCCTCTACTGTCGAGGACACAAGACTCCCGGACCGCTTCACAATAGAGGGAAATACGTTATAAAAACCAAGGCATAAATGTGAGATGATGAATGAGTATTCTGGGAGTGAGAAGACACCGAAAAATGAAGAAAGCATGGGCCTTAGATGAAGATCATGACCAAAATATTGTTGAAAGGAGAGAGGGACTCGGAAGAAAATACAATATGTGGGAAAATTTAATAAGGAAGTCTAGACTCGAAAACTTGATTGAGACTTAGGTTTTTTATGTTCTCTTTCGCATGGAACAGATAGAGGTGGAAATAAACGGTGGATGTAGTGGGGGGAGTGGAGATGGGTGAGATGCGATGGGGGCAGGAGAAGAGGAAGACAAAGACAACCTCCACCAGGGGGCTCGTGATGACGGTGATGGTGATGATGATGACGCAGGTGAACACGGCTGCCTCTGCCCGACGTTTCAAGGACAAGGGACGGCAGGATGATCCCTTGATCGTGGAAACCAGCACGGGACTCGTCAGAGGGATCACCCTCACCTCCGCCACCGGTAAAACAAGTTTTAGACCATCGGTGATCTGAGGCCCCCTCGACACAGAGGACAGCGACGAGAGCGAATTTCTGGGAAGGAGCAGACGATAGGTCAGAGGTCGATACGGATGTGTGAAAGAAGTGACAACCATACGGAGTGCTTCAGAAGTCAGGAACAGATTGGGATTTTGTATACTTTTTCCCCCGCAAAAGTTGAAAGTGACAGCCTACTGTAGATCCACACGATCATTTCAAGGAAACCGTCCAGAATGTTTCACGAAGGAGAAAGAAAATGACACGGCTAAGCTCCTCTAATTTCGGTCTACCGCAAGTTCTAGGAACCTGGTCGACCTAATCTGTGACCTGCCTCTTCGTGCCTGCATCTCGTTTGGAGTGCCTATGGCGTGATCGTCTGGATCTATACTTAACTGACTAGGGTGCTTATCTTTAGCATTCATGAAAGGAAATGTATTCCGCATGGGTTCCTGACTTTTGAAGCACCCAGTTGTTTAAAGGTAGTCCACATTAGTACTGGTAGTCTTTACTAGTCCGCGTTCGAATCTAGTTTTGACATTCAAATATATGTTCGTGAACAAGGCAGTCGCCAAGTTTGGAAAATACCCTAGTACTACTTGAATGTTATTTTCTGCATGCTTATGTTTCACCTCATAGATGGATAAGGTTAAAAACTATCGTCTGCTTGTCCCTCTGCGTTTTCAAAATTGAGGGTGTGGTGGAAAAACTCTGCAACTCACAAACGAATCATATAGAAAATAAAATATTTCTGCCAATGTTCGCGTTGTCTTTAAAGGCATACCCCAAGATTTCCAGAATCTGCCCTGCTTCGACGGAAGTAGTCAGAATTGAGTTCAATGTGGCTCATAAATGAAGGCAGTGCAAAACGAGAACTCGCCGGGGTACGGTATCGCTTCGAGAAAATCTCGGATTTTCTCCCAGACAGGATCCTTGGCGAAGGGTAAAGAGTCAAAGTGGCAGCCTGTGCCATATCTATCAAAATCAAGTTCATGTGTTTTACTTAGCAAGGTAACGGTGCGCGGGAACAGTGCCCTCAAATTTCGCCAGATTTAGTCTTACGTAGTTTTTCCATCACACCCCCTGAATTTCAGGTAGTCCAGTTTCCCTTTAGTATTCAGAGTGCTGAAATATCGTATAGTAGATGAAGGGTGGCAACAAATTTCTGTCAGAATGATTTGAAACCCTCTGAAACTTCAGGCGAATTGCCTGAAACTCTGGTTGTAGATGAAGCATAAGGCATCCTTCGCAATTTTTACGGAAAAATAAAGTAGTTTAGGGATCTCGCCTCTGTCTCCGATACGTCTCCATTCCTATCGGTGTCACTGCCGATTGAAGAGGTCTTAGTTCCGTTATGAATGATTGTGTAGGGAAGGAGGTGGATTGCTGGTTGGGGATACCATATGCAGCACCGCCTATGGGAGACCTTCGTTTTCGGCATCCGAAGCCCATCGAGAGGTGGGAGGGGATTCACGAAGCGGACAAGAAACCCAACAGCTGTTGGCAGAACAAAGACACCACTTACCCCGGATTCCTTGGTATGTCAGAAAAAAATGTCAAAGCAGTATTAGAAAGTACTTGTAACATTTAAGTGCAAGACGCGATAGTGTCCTACTAAAAGAATCGTTACGCAAAATGCTTGTTTTTCTTGTATCTTTCTACTTCGCACTCATGCACAAAGTCCATATTTGGCAGGCTTCTAGACTCATCGAGGCCTCTAAGTAGACCAAGTTTCATGCTTAAAGTTCTTGTACTTTCTGAGATCTGAAATTACGTGATTAAGGATCATCTGGTGCCAAGCTCAACTAAGAGCAAAAACTAACTGATTTCTATAAATGAGGTGCCGATGTCATTTCTCAAGCCTACGTCTTGAAATAATGGAAGCAGCGGATTTTGAAGTATTAATAATTGAAGTACTGAAGAGTACTTTTTCAGAAATAGACGAGTCGTCCTAAAGCAAGATATTGGATCCTGCTAAATTAGGCATTGGACTTCCTTTCGGAGGTTTTGCAGATCCCAACACAGTAGTACTGACAACCTCTGATCTAGGACAGAAAGCAACCAAAAGTACTTGAAATCCAAAAGAATAAAAATTTCCTTTTCGATTCTGGGACATGAGGTATCGGTCTTGTCTCATGGAGACTGCGTGGCTTATCTGGGTCTTCAGTATAGAATTAGCTTTGAAAATGGAAAATGAAACAAGCAGACCAACCTAGAGCAGCAAATAAAGCTTGTTGACAGCAATTACTCAGTAGATTACGACGAGCAAGCGAGGAGCGAGGGAGACCAATGGGATTGCCCTGAATCACCTAAGTGCTTCATTTGTCTGAATAACTGAAGTAGTACTGAAAGCTGAATATGTAGAACATTAATAATTATCCTAAACGCACTGACCAATCTAGGACCAAACTTCCCTCGTGTGTTTCCCCAAATGAACTTGGAAGGAGAAAGTTTCTATTGTAAAAGTAATATTTTCTTGCTTGTTGAGTACGAAATAGCACTAGTAGTATTAAAAAGCCGTTTTATGATGATTTTGGCAGATTTGCTGAGCAGCCGAGTAATGTGTGAAGTCGTTCGATATGTCCTGTAGGGAGTCAATTTAGTGCGAGGGGAGGGGGTCATATCTTGGGTATCCAAGAATCAACGTGTGAAGCACTCGAAAATCCAAACAATTGAAAAATCATTCGTCTGTCTTAGAACAAACTACTGGACGGATTCCGACAGTTACGAATCGGCTTTCTAACTTTCAGTTCGATGCTGAATTAATCTATACAAATGAGGACAAGAGTAGGGATCTGCATAAAAGTCGCTTTCAGTTACAACATGAGATATTACATTATGTCATTTAATGCCTATTGTGTCCGAGGCAATTCTTACTCTCGGTGTTCACCAAAGGATTTTTTATGTCTAGATAGTGATTTGCGGGTGCAGGATTTCTTGCACTTGCAAAATTACCAATATGTTTGCACCATTCAGTCATTTCAAACTGCATCAAGTACTCAGGCTATTGCAAGTAACGTGGGATAAAGATAAATTTTTAGTAATCACTAGACAATAACAGATGAGTAGATGGCAAACTACGGAATCGAAATCACTAGAATGGTTGTAGCATCTTACAAAAAAAAATTTCCGGCTTTAGATTAACGATTGAAGCAATGTGATGAATGAGTGACCACGATAATGTTGGGTGCTGCAGGTTCGGAGATGTGGAACCCGAACACGAACCTGAGCGAGGACTGTCTCTACCTGTCGATATGCGTGCCGAAACCACGTCCTCGCAGTCTGGCCACGATGGTGTGGATATACGGAGGAGGGTTCTTCGCGGGGACTTCTACGTTGGACGTCTACGACCCGAAAATCCTCGTCTCCGAATACAACATCGTGTTTGCTGCCATGCAGTATCGAGTCGCTAGCTTGGGTTTCCTCTATCTGGACACACCGGAGGCACCGGGGAACTCGGGGCTCTACGACCAACTCATGGCCTTGACCTGGATCAGCGAAAACATCGCTGCTTTTGGAGGGAATCCCAAAAATATCACCATCTTCGGGGAATCCGCAGGCGCCGTCTCAGTCAACTTTCATCTCTTTAGCCCCCTGTCTCGACACTTGTTTCAACAGGCCATCTTAGAAAGCGGAAGTAACACGGCCCCGTGGGCCGTGTTGCCTAAGGAAACCGCCTTGGGTCGGGCGGCCATGCTGGCCGAGGGGATGGAATGCCCGACGAACGTCCAGAAACCGGAGGAGATGGTGGAATGTCTGAAGAGGAAAGATCCCGGTGACCTGGTGTTAAACGAGTGGAACGGCGTGTCGGGGATCGTGGATTTCCCTTTCGTCCCCGTAGTGGATGGTGCCATCGTGGATATGAGCCCACTGGATGCCATTCGGTCGAGACACTTCAAAAAGTGTAACATTCTCATCGGATCGAACGAGGAAGAGGGCTCCTTCTGGCTTCTCTATTACCTCCCGCATAAGTTCCAGGTTCAAGGCCTGGACCGGCCACCGGAACACGTCCAGTTTAACATGAGTGACTACCGGCAGACGTTAAACGATCTCTTCCGCGGATACCCGGAGATAGTGATCGAAGCGATCGCCCACGAATACACGAATTTCGTGGAGACCCGAGACCCGGACACGATCCTGGACAACTTGGAGAAAGTGGTCGGAGACCTGTATTTCTCGTGTCCCGTCAAGGACCTGGCGGATGCGTACGTGCAGGAACGGGGATTGGACGTGTACAAGTACTACTTCACGCACAGGGCAAAGGGAGGCCCGTGGCCGAAGTGGGTGGGTGCCTATCACGGCGACGAGATCCTCTACGTCTTCGGCGTGCCTCTCATCCGATCCGACGTCTACAGCAAGGAAGACGTGGAACTTTCTCGCCGCATGATGCAGTTCTGGACCAACTTTGCCAAAACCGGGTTCGTCTAACACTGCCTTCTCTTATGTCTGCTTGCTTATTGATTGATATCCAGTGACCTTCCTTTCTTCCGGATACCTTCAACGTTTGCGTGGATGTTGTTGCTTCAATCTTCACCAAAACCTTACCACAAATCAGGAAGTGTCAATTTTGACTTCTATTTGGTTTTCTAAAAACTCATCCAGTAACATATTTATTGATTTATATTCGAGTAAATTTGAAATGAGATGCTCTGATGGAGAGCGTACATTGAGTTGGGGGCCCTGGGGAAGAATCCGCCCTGAGGCTATGTTGTAACTTGGGATAGCTTCCCCATCCAGTCCAGCGGGTCTCCCCGAGATCGGACCAACTTCTGCTAACTATTCCATGTGCCGCGCAGGCCTTTGTAGACTATGCTGACCAAAATGGTAGTGCCAGAGATTTATTGTTGCTAGTATATACTGGGTGATCATGAAGTATCACTCCATGGGCTACGTCTTCACTATGAGACCAAGCTGCTGAATATTTTGTAAACATGACTAGATCATTCGGAATTACGTGTTCTACTTGATTGAATAATATTTCCTCTAACTGACACTATCATCCTAAAAGTATTAGTCCCATTTCTCTGAAAGGTTAATTCGAACGAATAGATAGTGAAAAGGAAGATACATTTTATGCCTAGGACAACTCTTGTCAGCACAGACAATATTTGCGAAAGGAGACAAAACAAAATATGTCACACCTTGATTACTTCTGGCTGGAATTACTGTCCTCAGTAACTATTACTGGGTGCTGAGACGGGTGAAATTTAAGCTTCCCCCAATAGGAATTGTTGAATTCAGGAAAAACTTAAGAAAAACAGGGAAAAATTATGGACAATTCTGAATTGTCCATCATTTTTTCCTTGGCGCACAAACTGATAAAATCGAATCGGAAGGGGCACTTCAGAGAGAAGAGAGAGAAGTGAGAATGAAGACCTAAAACCAAACTGTAACAAAGTTGACAGATTTATTATGAAGAAATATACCCACGGTCACTGACACTATTTTGCTTTTAACACCAGAAATGGGTACTCTCTAAGCGGGTTCAGTATTCGACTGCCTGCTTTATTGCTCATTTGCTAGATATTCTAATGATAAATATTTTCTTCGCGCTCTGTCCATTCCTTCAAGTCCCGACTTCAGAGGTCATGATACCTAAGAGTAGGCCTATATTTTTCTATCGGTTTTGACGATCTGACGGGTGACCAGGACGCCGAACATGGCGGTGCCGGGTGGAAACTGGACGAGGATCTATTGGCCCCAGCATACTTTGTACAGGAGGGAATTCTTGGACCTGAACGTGGAGGATCCGTCGAAGAAAGGCCGAGGTCCACGTATCCGGGAATGTGCCTTCTGGCGACAATTCCTCCCTCAGCTACTTCATGCCACCGGTACTAGTCACTCATTCTCTTCTCTGCTCCATTATTCATCCTCCAAAACACTAAGAATTTTAAAATTCAATGTTTGGATTTTATATTCGTGGTTTTACTACGATTTATTTGCCTGTCTTTAATTTGTTTTTGATGTTTGCCCCGGTTCATTAGAGGGTCTTAAGGTACTGAAACTCCCTTGCCAGGCTATCTCCCCTAATCTGTGCAATATTTTTTTAGTGAGCTTCATTCTTTTGAAAAGAAATTTGGCTGCTTACGAAACGGCAAGATGTGTGGTGTCCGTGTATGTTTGTGTGCCAAGTTTTCGTCAGCATTTGCGAGAATATTACTCCTCTTACTTCCACCAAAATTTTGCTGAACTCTTAATATGCAAACAAACCTGACGCATCTTTGGTTTTCGAAAACGCTCGCCCAGTGACAAATTTATTATAAAATGAATTTAAATCCACAATCTCGGATAGAAGATCTTGGCGGATTGGGTGGTGGTCCCTCCCTCGTATTTTAATTCTCCTTCCCTCTTCTTTCCTCCTCCATATTACCCCATCATTTAGTTGGTGTCATCTGCGATGGTATACTCAAAGGACACTCGCTACTGGACTGTGGACTGGGCTTGGCCCAACTTGTTCTTTTTATCTCCTCCTAATACCCCTCATCCTAGCACCTTCAGAGAAACAAATCTTCCACTCACTTGAAAAATCTCTGTCGCCCCACCCATCTCACCACTCGTCTTTTATTAATAATCTATGCCCAGTCACATCAAAGAGAGCAATCATTTAACGAGAAGATGGCAGTAGATCAAACGCGGAAATGTAAAAGAGGTGCGGTGATGCCCCAGCCGATGGTGCAAACCAAGGCATAGAATCGATAGGCCCTATAGCACTTCCTCAATTAAGATTCGCAGGACAATGTGGCATGTCCCCCCATGCAACCTCTCACCCTCTCGAATAACGTTCACGTTTCGTCCGTTACTGCACAGTACTTTTAGAGATGTCCTACTGGTGTCGATCCGGCGATTGATGAGCGCAGACATCGCCACTGGGCACCATTCCTCAGAAAATTAGGCACCAATTGCAAAAGTGACCATAAGAAATCACAGTAGATAGATCCAGGAGACCTGGATACCTTGCTCAGGACTGAATAGAAGAAAGAATGAACAGGGAGGGAGGAAATACAATGGACTGCCTCTCCCCTCCCCCCTCCCCCCGCCCCCTTGGCAACTCCCCTGCTTGTCTTCGTGTTACTGCAACTGGCTCAAACGAGACATATCTCTTCTCAGCAGTGGGATAGGGGCAGCCAAACTTAGCGTATCTTCAGCCTTCATCTCTCAAATTTTAGAGTCGGCACGCCACTGGTCTACACTATTATCATAAGTTGATAATGGTCACGATGATCACTGCAATGTCATATATCCAAATTACGATAGTAGATATCAACATGATCTTATCAATCTAATGATCATCGGAGTCTCCAGCAGAGACTCCACTATTGACATATCGTCAGGTGATATATACGAGGTGATATATACGAGGGATTTCTCAAAAGTTCTGCCAGTAGCCCCAAAGAAATAAAAAATCTAGTGTTCCATTAATTCTGATCATTATTGCCACAGGCAACTACTTCACACCTTTTCCACATACTCCCCACCGATTTCAATGCATTTTTTCATGCGATGGATCCAACCAGGTGAAAAACCTTCTTTTTTTTTAAATGTTTCCCGAACTGGTCCAGCACTTTGCGGCCGCCTCCGATGACGACTTGTGGGCTACTGGCAGAACTTTTGAGAAATCCCTTGTATATATTTGTCTCACTTCTATCTCCATTCTCTATTTGTTTTTACCTAATACACTCAGAACAGAACGACAAATATTTTCTTCAGTTATCCTAGTTCTTATCGTGTCTTGGGAAGGAATGTGTGTCAATGAACCAAAAAAAATATATATTCCTTAACAAGTACGACAAAGACGGGTTCCTTAGTCCTATTTTGCTCAAGCACTACCAACGACCCAATCATTCATTTAGGCGCGCAACTGATAATGGCTACATCCTGCACACTCCTGCGCCACTTTTGCGAATGCGCTTGTTCGACATTGTCAACTCTGATTTCAACAGGAAATAAACGATTAAAAATTAGGAAATGCAATGGCATTTAGCCATTAAGGAACATAGATCAGAAAGACAATGCCTGTCTTTCTGTCCCACAATTCGAGTGTCCACTGTTTTTTATGCTTTAGAGTGCATTACAGAAAGTGGTCTTTTTCTTATTCCATTTGCTTTGAAAATACTAAATGTAAAATAGAAGGAAATGGGTACTAAGTAAAAGAAAACCTGATTTCGATTCATAGGTTATCCTCCAATCCTTTACTTCATTTTGAAACTAATGTTTCAGTCAGTTACAGGTCTGCCATCACACTTGTCACTACAAGCACTACTTGTTATACGATTGGTCGCCATAAACACCATTTTCGACCAGATGCTGCAACCCAAATATCTGTGAAGCGAGACTAGTCCTTAACACATTGGTGACGGGTCCCGAGAAATCTCGTAGTACGCTCGCGAGCGGTTGGTGACCGGCCCCGGGGCCGGTCACCAACCGGACAGTCCAACCGGTCGCGAGCGTACTACGAGATTTCTCGGGGCCCGTCACCAATGTGTTAAGGTACGGTAACAGAGGAATGAGAAGTTATCATCTAAACCTAGGTTGCTGTGGCACCTGCAGACAGATGGAGTAAAGAAAAACATTTCCTGAAGTTCGTGGAAAAAGAAGCTTTGAAGTTGGAAAAACTTAATGATGCTATTAGGTGATATATTTCTTCTCTCCCCCGCAGAGATGGGAGAAATTTGAAACTTTGTCAAGACGGATTTCCCATAGACCTCACTATCAAAGAGATTTTTGGAATGATAGCAAATGTCAAATTTGTCAAAATGCTTGCAAAAATGTAGAGATGGAAACTAAATCATTGTGTCAGAGAACGCAGGAGAGAAAATCTATGGGTTTGCCTGTGAATAATTTGTTCGCCATTTGGGAGATGTGGGGAAAAATAAATTTTCAATAAAAAAAATTACGCTTTCGATCAAGTTAAAAGTTACTCAAAGATAATGCCATAATGTAGACGAGGAGAAAACTATAACTTGTCTAGAACAGATTTCTTTGAACTTAAATGATTGGGGGTGGTTTTGGGAAAACCATTTATTTTTCTTCCGTTTTCTTTTCTCTCTATAAGGAAGCAGCGCGGGCATAGGAAGAATAAAAAACAAACAAGCAATAGGTTGCTATGACAACTGCATATTGAGGGAATGGAAACACGCTGAGCAATCCCAGTCCAGTCGTGGGCCTCAATTCAAGGGCTTTTTGGGACAGGAGGAGAATGTGGTAGATTGGTTTTTAGGTCGGAAGGGAGTACGACGTTAAGCAGCTCTGCCAAATATAGTATCGCTTCAGTTCAGCCTGCAATCCTGTTTTTGTTGCCAAGAACTGCTTCGGTCTCCGTTACGAAACAATGGATCCGTCTTCAGCTACTTAGACCGAAGGGAAGTGGCATCTCTGGTTGCAGACATGGCACCCCGATCCTGACTAAGCGCTGCTCATGGCTTTAATGTCGAGATTCAGAGATGCAGGCGGTTGCTCATGCTTTTCCTGCTGTGAGCGAATATAAAATTTTGCGATAAAATTGTTGTTCTGACAAGTATTTCACCTGACTCGAACATCGCCTGTATCCTTTTCATATCTATTTGCATATCAACTTTAACAATGATCAAGTCAGTATTTTTAAAATTGTAACCGTTAGACCAATAAAGTGTGAGACAGACACACAAACAGGATAGGACTATTAATGGTCTCTTAGCTGAAAGGAAAGTAAGCCTACTAAAATAGAAAGTGGCGGAACGATTGCTTAGGTGGGAGAGGCAAATCAAAAGGAAAAGAAGTTTCCAGTGAACAGGAAACGTTCGGATAGTACTATAATGTAGCAGGGGAGAAAATTGGAATTTCGTGAGATTTCCAAGAACTTCAAGGGTTAGGACTTAAATATGGAAAAATTTAGCTTTTCTCTCCAATGTATATAGGGAATTAGCATGTGCAAAGGGAGAAGAATAATTGCATTAAGCGATAGGTCCATATGGCAACTGTGGACAATTTGAATGGGAGAAAAGAAAGGGGACAATTTTCCCATGACAGGAAATGATCATTCTGGCGTGAAAAGAAGACTAACTTTGTTTTGCAGACATTCGGCTGAATAAAGCAAGAATTGGAGCTAGCCTGCATGCATATAGTAAGTCTGAAATTCATTCTGCATACATGATTGAGTACAGGAAGGAAAATGATAGTGATACGTGTGCTTAATAATCTAAGCGTATCTCAGGATTTCTGAAAGGGGGGCTTTGTATTATGGGGGGGGGGGAATGTGCTGGACGAATGCAGCCAAAACGGGAAGGGAAGTGAGGTTTCGCCCCCCCATAACAATGGCAGTCATCTATTCACCCACCTCCTAACGACGGTACTTGGGGGAGAAGGGAGCCCAGCCTCCTTCGCCCATCTCTGCGTACGTCGCTAATGAAGACCAAAAATAGAGTTAAGGAAGTTAAAGCGCCTCAAACATGATGGATGAATCCAAAATTTATTTTTTTTTTTTTGGGGGGGGGGGGGGCAGGGGGGTATCCTACCCCTCCGGTAGGATTAGTGGATCTACCTCTGGCTTGAATGTATTCACTCATATATAAGTATGTAATAAGGAAGCCAGGGTGGGGGCTGGTATCATCAGCATTCAGCTCAACTTTTTCTATACTTGACGGAATGGAGATCATTTATGTGGGACGTGAAAAAGAGTGGCCCTAGAGAGCCATGGGGGAATGGCCTTGGGGGACCCCGATGGCATGGTTTTGTATCAAAGGATGGTGAGTATCATCAGTATGGTCAATAAATCGTTTCCTAAGGGAAAAATATGAGGAGAGAAAGTTTGCAGTACTAAGGTAACAGAAGAAGCTGGTTGATAGCATGCGAAAAA